TGGAGGTCCATTCAAGTAACTCCTCAAATAGATCTTATGTTGACTAGAACTGATCCCTACTTTTTGCTTCTTCTCCAGTCTTATCGTTACCGACTTAAAAACTTTTACATCCTTGGTAATATCAATGAAAAGAACTGCTTCATTAGCATCTCTTACAAATAATGTATTGAAAGGGAGATTAGAAGTTAAAATATTGTTCTCAAAAGCTGTGGATTTTAAGTATCCATGTATCCCTTTGCTCTTCAACAACTCTGTCACAGATATCCCACTATTATACCCATTTTTACATAGGGTGAAAAATGAAGCCAAGAGAATTTAAGAAAATTATCAATAGTCACTAAGCTACTAAGAAGAGCAAGCTGTTGGATCCAGACAGACTCCAAAGACTGCTCCTGGCCTTTCTATTATGTTGCTTCTGAATAAAACATCAATCAAAGGGAATCTTTCAGTTCCCTGGTTCTAATAAGATCCCTTCTCACACTGAAGAGATTTTGATTTCCATACTCTGAATCCCACTCACTGCCTATGTATGTTACAAGAAGAGAAAAAGAGAATCTGGGCATGGCAGTACACCTGTAATCCCAGCACTTTGGAGGCCAAGGCAGGACGATCACCAGGAGTTCAAGCCCAACCTAAAATACACAGCAAGACCCTGTCTCAAAAAACCAAAAAAAAAAAAGAAAAGAAAAGAAAGAGGGGAAAGGAGGGAAGAGGAGGGGAGGAGAGAAAATCTTTCACATCCGGGCTGTGAGAGAGCTCTCAATGGTTCAGACTTTACCTCAGAGTCAGCTCACAAAGCCACCACACCTCCAGCATGGGTAATGGAAGGAAAATACCTAGTGTGCTTTATATGAGAGAACCCACCCTTGCACCTAAATAAATTTTGTTACATCAACCACATCACTGAGGTTAAAGAGGCCCATGCTCTCACATCACTTTTTCCAGTCGGGACCTAGAAGGTATGAATAAATGTTGAGTTAAAAAAATGACTTTGGCTTACAGTGAAAAGTAGAAATACAAGTGTATTCCCAGGTCAAATCCATGAACGCTTCCCTATTCCTGCTCTACTCTCCTGCCACCCACTCCTCCCTGGGGATGCCAGCTGCAGCCCTAACACTAATGCTGTCTGCCCACTGTGTTCCCTGGGAAGGTTCACCTGCTCTGAAAGAAATCCACGGCTCTCTCTCCTACTGTAAGTTCCCCTCTTTAGCTGCTACCTTCTTTCATCCATTTTGAATTAGAAAAATGAGCCTCCTCCCACAACATGACACTTTCTTTCACCTGATGTTACATGGATAAAATGTCCTGTTCATTATTAAACCAACTGGTACTAAATAGTAAAGGACAGGGCCAGGGATTTAGCTCAGTGGCTCCGGCATCTGCCTCCCAAGTGCAAGGTCCCAAGTTCGATCCCTGGTACAAAAAAAGAAAACAAAAACAAACAAACAAAAAAAACCTAAACAGTAAAGGACAATCAACTTGCTCTCAAAAATCTCCAAACACCACAGAGGTGTCTGCCTGCTGTGTCCTCAGTAGGATATATGATAATGAGAGGATATCCTACTACTCTGCCTCCTGTCCCTTGGCAAATGGCTGCTTTGGGAACAGGAAAAATCAAAATCCTTTGTGGAACTTAGTCACATACTCATAGGTAAGGAAATAAAAGGAGGGGAAAATGAAAGGACACTCTGTGACTACTCTAAAAAAAACCGTAAATGCATAAAAGAAGAGGTTCTGGAATGTGGAGGTCATTTGTGGCTACAAACCCTTGTCACTGAAGGTGGACACAGTCAAAAGTAATCAGCCAACATTCCTTCTTTCCCTCATCAGCTTCCTCAAAGGAACCGAAGATTTAGGCTGTCCCAACTCCAAAAGAATAATAATAATAGTAATAATATTTGGTCCTCTTCTTAGTCTGTGGCAAACCTGGCATTGCCCCATTTCTTCAAAAACTGTCCCTTTTGCCCCAAAATTTAAAAAAAAAAACTCCTGGTTTGACTTAAGTCAAAAGTGGACACTATTTGCCACTGGTAAACCTAAGATAAACATTAACAATTGTTTGTATAAAGAAAGGCCAACGTGTAAAGTGAAGTCAGAAAAAAGAATCATTGACTCATCTCTAACCCCTGCCCCACTCCTAGAAATGCCACAGAAGGCTCTATTTCCTTACCTACAGTGGCTCTGATTCAAGCAGGTGGGTTAAAAGTAGGTAAAGATGCATCTCATCAACTTCAAGGTGTTTTCTGTTTAATTATTTTTCCAAAAAGACGTATGCATATGCTAGTATATAGCTTGCCTAACATGCCCAAGACCTGGACTCAATCCTCATCAATACCCAAAAAAAGTATACACAGTCATTTCCTCCTATTTTTTCCTTTCCTTCTATTCCTTACAGACATAAACTATTAACTGAAAAATTGATTTAAAAGGTTTTTGTGATCTGGCCTGGCAGCTAAATGCTCCTAATTCCGCCAACAAACACACTTAGGACTATCATTTTTTTTTTTTTTTTTTGGTACCAGGGATGGAACTCGGGTCCTTGCGCTTGCACAGCAGGTGGCGAAACCACTGAGCTAAATCCCCAGCCCTCCAAAGTATTCTTAAAAGAAGACAACTTATCAGTTGAACCATCTTAGAAAATTAGAATAAACATAAAAACATAGGAGATAATTACGTCTGTACAATAATACAACACTTAATACATTACTCTGCAGAAAAAGTCACATTTAAGCCCCCAGCTTCTACAAAAATGTAGTCCAGTTTATTTTCTTGACCATCAAAGTCAGGAAAACTCTTCCTCCTAGAATGGATCTGATTGGCAGGTACTTTCTGAGAGAAGACAGCTGAGTTAAAGGAGGCTTGTGGACATTTTATGTCAACAGCTAAAATAAACTGTTTCTTCTCTCATACTATTTTTTTCTTTTTTCCTATATTTTTTCTTTTTTCCTATTTTTTCCTTTTTTTGTTTGTTTGTGCTAATCCCTATGGCTATACTGCACCCACTATCCCCTCAAACCTATGTCCCCTCCAAAGAAACACAGAGTTGGGTTTCTGATGCAATTCAATTGAATATGTCTAGCTTGGGTTTTTTTCAACAGAACTTGTCAGCTTAAAATTATAAATGACTTAAAGCTACTAGTATCCATTTCATTTGGCTATTAGGGTAGTCAGGATGTCTAACCTAGAAAAGATAAAATGACAAAATGTTCTAGGAATCAATAAGCTCTTATTTTGCCTTTTTAAATCCACCCCTAACTTCCAAACAAAAAAAAAGTATTCTATGAGATCAATAATCTAAGAGAAACAAAACAATACAAAAACAGATGGAACAGTATTACATACTTTAAAGATAAGCCATAAACTTTGTAATAGAACATGCTTACCATGGTTAAAAGACACAAGGCACAAACAAATTTAGCAACGACTATTAGATATCATGACCTTTGGCACTGGCATTTTCCAGTATCGTTTCAGATAACACTGGTAAAGATGGCAGAAGTAATCTAATCCCTTAATGCCCATGTCCCAAACTTCTGAAATAACCTCAGTAGAAGCAACATCTTTTCAGTTACTTTTTTTTTTTGGTACCAGGGATTGAACTCAGGACTTTGCGCTTGTGAGGCAGGTGGTGGAACCACTGAGCTAAATCCTCGGCCCATTTTCAATTACTTTTAAGGAACCAAAACAATCGTTTAAAAGAAATAGGGCACCAAAATGATCAACAGATGAGGAAAAGTTTCAACAGCAAGTCACTCAATTATACCAGCAGCAAACACTAGGGGAAACCTTAAGGGTAATATGCTCATAGTTCAGAATGAAAAAGAAAGATGAACACAGTATCTTCAATATCATTTATCTTTAAGAGGAACCACATAAAAACTAGCTGCTGTTTTTTAACTGTAACCAGCACATCTGTGTTTTCCCATTTAGGATATGGACTTCCAACTAATGTGCCTGGTTCTACCATGTGGTAGCACAAAGAAAGAGGAAAAACAAGCAACAGACAATCCATGGCTTTAAAATATCCTTTAAAAATGTAGGAAATCAGTAGCTTGTAGCTCACCCAATCACAAACAGCTTACCAAATTCCTTCACCTTCACCTTTGAAACAGGAATGCACCACTCAGCTGGCATCACAAAATTCCTTCACGACGGAGAAATGGAAAAGGAAGACTAACACTAACAACTGAGGTGGGTGGCTACCAACATTTCAAGCTTGAAAAGAAAAAACTCTTTCAACAAGATTATTTCCTGATATCAGTTTAAGCTACAGGAGAGCACAGTTTAGTGGAAAGGGAAAAAAATTAAATGGAATAACCTGAATACTTTAAAACTATTTGGAAATTTCATACCTGTCTCGTTGTCATAACTTCCCCCATTAAAATGTTTACCTAATAAAATGTAATACTTTGAGGGTGGGAATGAGATAAAAATAAAATAAAATTTATTTTTGAAAATATAATACTATATAAGTAATTAAACTTTTTTTTTTTTGGTACTGGGGATCAAACTCGGGTCCTTGCGCTTGCGCAGCAGGTGGCATAACCACTGAGCTAAATCCCCGGCCAGTAATTAAACTTTTAAGAAATAAAATCAAGATTCAGAGTTAGGCCTTTTCTTTTCTACTGCCTTTCTCAGTTGCTTGCCTTCTAATAAGACAAACTTGGCAAAGACATAGAAGGTAGCCAAACATTGCAGTGAATAAGGAAGGTCTAAATGAACAAACCCTGGCAGTAGTAAATGAAGCAGTCGTTTAAAAACCAAAGAGCCAAAACAGAGGCTAAATAATGCTCCCTCAAAAAAAGAAATTCACATTTTAAAAAGTGAGATACAATTCTCAGGGGTCATAAGGCAATATTCTAAATTAGTATCTTTCAAATCAAACTGAGAAACTTTGACTGCAATTCAAAAGGAAAAACCCAATAGGGTATATGCACCTCATATACAGCACTTCAGCAGCTTTAAGTTGCATATTATAATCAATACACACAGTTACTTACTTGCTTCCTTCTGTAATGAGCAAACTGTGAGAGTCCTAAAACAGTGGCAAGAGCACCTCCTCCAACAAGAACAGTCCCTTTCACCACCTTGTGAAATGCCATTTCTTAACCTACAAAGGAAACAAAAAGAAGTTAATTGGGATTTTTATTGCATAACAATCCAAATAATAAAAAGACACTATGTGGATTATGAAACTATGTTAAACTAGAATAGGAAACAGAAAATAAGGAAGTTACTAGCATGCCAACTTGTATACCAGTGTTCAAAAGCAATAACAAAAAAACCTAGACAAGGAAATTGATTATGTAAAAGTCACATTCAGATCCAACAGGAACTAAAGAAAGAAAAGCAAATTAAGACACAGCTGAAGACATTCAAACAATATAACGTCAAAAGAATTGTGGAAAGAAAAGTCACTGTGTATTTTAAAGAACTGCATGCTGTACTTGCCAATTTGTTCAACAGCTAATCCCTTCCACAAGAGTTAGCAGAAGTGTTGGGTCACTCAGCATAACAATAAACCTCAGGCAGGGCTTCAGATTCTCTGTCATGTGTCTAACTCAAATTGTGGCTCAACTCCCTTCTTGAGCTTTCCCTTCTTTATGAAGTTCTCAATAGAGCTAAAGCCAACACACATGTCTATCACTCAGTCTCATACTTTACAGACAGTCAGCTAGGAAGTCAGCAGATACCATGCCTTGATCTTTCACAAACTGATGAACTTAACCTGTTAGAATTCTTTTGAAGGGGAACTTCAAAACTTTTTTTCTAGCCAGAGTTTCATGACATGATTTCAAGAAGACACCCTCTTGATCGAACTCTCTACCATTGCTCACTGTGTATTTCTAAAGTTCTGTGTTGTGTTATCTCCTTTCTTCTCCCTTGTTTTCCACTACTAGGCTGGTTAAATTTTTTAAACTTATTTTGAGTACTTAAAATTACTCTTTAACTTTTTTAGAAATAAAAAAATTCCACAGAAATTAAAATTTCACCAAAAATGTTCTTGTCTACCTTTATTCTGTTAAACGTAGAAGATAAAATTGTGATGCCACCACCGCCTGCCTCGCAAGCTCAAGGTCCCCAGTTCGATCCCTGATACCAAAAAAAAAAAAAAAATGTGATGCCATAAAAAAATTCTGACCTGGATTGAGTAATCTGACTCACCTAAAAGTTTTCTTCCACTTCATTAAAGTGGCTGGCACACCCACCTCTTATAGGTAAGCCACTAACTACTCTATTTCCTGTATGGGTGGAGATCATAACTCAAGAACATACATTATAGTTCTATGAAGGCAGTTTTCATGTACGATACTAAAAAAATACATAGCATATCCATGTAAATTGTGATACAGTTACATATCTGGTTCCATACTGGATGTGTAAATATTATTATCATACTATCCTAAATTAAAACTTTTCAGTACAGTTGGTGACTGATTCTACAGAAAATTCATTTTGGAATACTATAAATTATACACTAAAAAAAAGTTGGCATTTCTTAAAATTTTATTTTTTCCTTTGATCTCATTCTTCTTTACAAACTCCAAAATTCTAAGATGGCTTTTTTTTTTTAATTAAGATTCTTACCCGGAAGATTTTTCACATGCATACTTTGCTGCTCAAGGCCTCTTCTTTTCTGTTCCTTCTCTACATAATCATCTTCTGTTTCCCAAATTGTACAAGACATTGGTGAAGGCTGACTAGGGACTTCATTCATCATTCAGTCAACTCTAAGGAAAACCTTATATCCTAGGCTACTCTGATAGTAAAAATCACAGTTTAGCAGGCACCACTGGTCATAGCTCACCATCACCATTCAAGGTACTGCTATAAATATTCACTGGGTGCCTATCACACAATAACGAAGACCATAGCATCCTGGAGATAGCATACTATCTCAAGGACAACTGGGTGCTGCTGTCAGCTGGGACAGACAATAGAGTGTTAGTTCTGTTACCCAACAATGCATGGGCCTATCCTTAGACAGCAGCCCGGTGATCTGCTGGATGTGAATGTTGGGTCCGACTGACTAGCTTAGTATCACTGCTTCTGTCTTGTGGATAATGTCACCAATGACCTCACAAAGGATACCACATATCAGCATGGGCGACTGAGAGCTGGCGCATACAATAAAAGTCAATGAAAATGTCTGTGTTAAAAGTGTTAAGTTTGGATCTAGTTTTTCCAAAAGTGTATATTCCCTTCTTACCTAATTGCATTGTTTTCATTTGATTTGTCTGAGACCAAAACTTCCAAAGGCAGGTATTTTCCAATATTTTTCCAATGAGCCACTAATACTAATGAAAAATTGCATTCACATACTGCCAGAGTTAGCAATAATACTGACTATAATCAATAGTTTCCTTTTTCAATAATTTCATAAGATAATTTATGCATAAGTGATTATTATTTCTACTGTGATCAAATCCTGTTCTACCAAGTAGCTAACTATAATGAATAAACTACTTTCACAGGTAATTCAAAAATAAAAATAGAGAATCAGTCATTTTTTCCTGGCTCTTTTAAGAGCACCCATTATTATTATTATTATTATTATTATTATTATTATTATTATTATTATAATAAATGTTACAATGACAATAGCTACCATTTGATTGTCTGCTAGGTAACAGGAACCATGCTTTCAATTCTTCACACCCATCAGTTCATTTCATCTTCATATCTAATTTCACAGGACTGGAGGGCCTGGGATTTAGCTCAGTGGCTGGCACCATGCCTGCCTAGTCAGCACAGGGTCCTGAGTTTGATCCCTGGTACCAAAAAAAAAATTCATAGGACTGGGGTTGAAGGTTAGTGGTAGAATGCTGGCTTAGCATGCACAGAACCTATGTTCAATCTCCAGCACCACAGAACACATACACACACACACACACACACACACACACACACACACACCATCAAATTTTATAACAGAGGCAGCTGTCGCTCAGAGGTAGTTGGAGATTTTCCTGAAGTCACTCCCTAGAAAGAGAGGAAACCATGACTATATTTGAGTTTAGATTCTTAACTACAGAGTGGGTCTGCCCTGCTTTTAGTCTCAAAAGGTAACTTCTCCCCAAAAGCTACAACATATTTTTCTGTCACTCCCAAAAGAAGGCCCTAGCCCAGCATGGTGGCACACACCTATAAACCCATCATTCCTGGGAGGCTGAAGCAGGAGGATTACAAGTTTGAGCTCTGCTTGGGCAACTTGGCAATTTAGCAAGACCCTGTCTTAAAATAAAAATTTTTTAAATGGGCTGGGGATGTAGCTCAGGGCAAAGGCCATAGGTTCAATACCCAGTAACTCAAAAACAAACAAAAGATTCTCAACTACACAAAGTGTACCTGTCAGCATTCAAGTTTTTAAGGCAAGGAGGGAGCATCTGGCAAACAATTGCACTAGTTATCTTCTAGAAGTACTGTAAGAATATTGATTTATTCTTAAAATAAAGAAATTGAAAACCAGATAAATGTAAGCCACACACTGTGGACACATATGTACCTTTTACATTCCCTTGTAAGGAAAAGTGTTCAGTGATTACAAAGCAGGAATGATTATTTCCCTTTATGTAAAAGCTGCAACTAGAAAGTTAGCCAAGAAAGGGACCGAAAATATTGACAAATCTTCACCTTTTGCAATTAAAAGTGTGAGACAACCACGCAGAAAAAATGATCCAAAGAGTTATCTCTGTTATCATGGCTCAATGTTCATGTCTTGTAGCCTATTAATTTGATCACATATACTTTGTCTCAGGGCTGACTCCAGTGTTAGCACACACCATGCAACGATAATTCTCATGAGAACTCCTGCTCAACTGGCAAAACCTAAACAAAACAGAACTCACCTAAATACAACCATGATTTATTGACTGCCTCAAGGAGTTCTATGTAAAGGATAAAATACCAATGTTTGTCTCACAATTGTGTCTTGTAACTATTAGTGCTGCACTGAGTTATAAACATTTTTGTAGAAAAGAAAGCAAGGTACTATGTCATTGTAGTGGAGTAAGAAATTCTTTCTGACTAAAAGAATTTTAAAAGGCTTTAAAGAAGATAGGATTTTTGAGAAAGATCTTGGAGAAAGAAAAATATTTAAAGGGTAGTGAGTAGAGAAGATCCGCATAAAAATCAACTATTTGAAAGATGGAGGGAGAGAGTGGAGGGAAAGGCATAAAAAGAGAATTAAGATGCATTATGTACATGTATCAACTCCACAATGAATGGGATCATTAAGTATTACAAACTTGTGCTAATAAAAACATTAAAAATAAATAAATAAAATGTTTTAAAAGGAGAGGAATATCATCATAATATTCCAGAGACATACAAGTAATTATCTAGTTTTGCTGAAGATGATGTCCAGTTGGAAATTAGGTTTTAAAAAGAAGACCAGGCCAAAAAAGAGAAATACTCTGTATGTAAAGTATTTTACTGATATTTTGTGGGCAATGGGGAGTTGAGGCTGTACTTCAAGGAACCAAGATGTTGTATCCCATTATTATTTATAAAGAGTTGTTTTTTGCACATTGATTTTTACATTGATGCTTATGAGAAAGACCAATTAGAGGACTATGAAATAGTCCCTGTGTGACAGAGTCTGGTTTAAGGCAAAACTGGAAAGTGCAAATGCAGAAATAAATGGTCTGCAGAAATCTCTAATAACAGCAGTCAACTTCTGACCATGCTAGGACCTGACAAGTGAGTACAGGAGGAAGCAGAGGCTGAACATGGTAAGGAATGTGAGGCCAAGGAGCTGGGGATTAGCCCCAACATCACAACGCTAAAACGCAGAAAAGGAAGCAGACTTAAGGGAAAAAAGGAAATCAGTAAGGAATCAAGGAAATTTGAGATCTTGACAGAACACCTACTTGGAGAAAACAGCAAAGAACTGGCTATGCAGGTTTAAAATTCAGAAGAGTTGTCATAGTTAAAGGTGAGGCTTCTGCCTGGAACTGACAGATACAACTACTGCACAATAAAATAAGTATGAGTGCCAGCGATCAAAAACTGGATTTGCCACTTCTCAAGATCTTCTGACCCATGTTTCTGGCTGGTGACTGAAACTTATTTGGCTCAACAGAATTGTTAGCTGTCCTTTCAGGACTC